CTCATGCATCCAACCTGGGCTGGAGATCTGTTTCACCCTTGATAGTATACTTGTTTCAATGCTATTCTCTCAGAACATCCCACCCTCGCCTTCTCCCACAGAGCCCCAAAGTCTGTTCTATACATCTGTGTCTCTTTTTCTGTTTCGCATATAGGGTTATCGTTACCATCCTTTAAAATTCCAGATCAGAACCTGCCGTTCCAGTGTCCTCAGCGCTGGGACACCCGCAGAGGCCCCCTCAGCCTGCGCCCTCAGCTTCCACCTTCAGCCTCCTTCCCTGCTTCCCTCCTAAAGCCTCCTGTCTCTCTGCAGCGCTCCCTTGAGAGACTTTATCACCACCCTAGAGCCTAGAGTGCTGTGTCTTCCTTCTTCTTTCTCCTGAGATGTTTACTTTTCTTTCACACCCAATGGAAGCTCATTTACTTGGTAAAGCCTTCAAATCATCTCTTTTGCGCCACGTCTCCTCCAGACTGGGAAGTGTTTACCAAGGTATTTATGCCAGGGAACTGGCATCTCTCTCCTTTCTCATTTGATCTTCATCCTAGGCCTTCATAACATCTAGAATGTGGCAAGAATTCAAGCTGTGTTTGTTGAGTAAATGACCAAATGAATGAATTAGGAAATTGAAGCAGAGAATAGGTTTTGCCCAGCTCCCAAAGCTGGTCATCCCCTCATCCTTCCTGTTAAAGTACTTTATCTGCACTTCTCTTTTTCAACAACATTTATTATTTTTAAATGTCTATCTATGGACAGTTATCTATGTACAAGTTTTATCATGGCTCCCACACATCAGGTTCCCTGAGGCAGTTATCTTAGATCAAAATCAACTACATCTCTCCCCAAACAGCTAATCTAGCATATCCTACATATTGTTTTCTTAATATTTGTTGAATGAATATTTCTTAAGTTGTCCTTATATTACTTTGCTCAGAATAAGAACTCAACACATTTGTTGAATTAAATTGAATTTAACCCTCTGTCACACGCATGCCTAATATCTAGAAAGGCCTAAAAATGGATTGAATTATAAAGTTCATAAGGGCAGAGATGATGTTCCATCTTATTTAATGTTGTTCCTCCTAGAAAGGGGAACAGATAGTAGGTACTAAATAAATATCTATTGATGAAATGGTGAACATCTCCTATTCTCCCTTAGGAAGAAAGCAAAGCCAAGTAGCCAAGAATAATTATAGGACCACTTAGTGTGAAGGCCCCCAGGATGGATGACATTTTTTCTCTGAATATAATTAACCAACCTAAAGTCAGGAATGGCAGTTGTCCTAAGCCCCTTACTCCCTTCCCTAATTTGATGAATAAGCTTCCTTTTGATTTAGACTAGAGTTAGGTATGTACCTTTTAAAAAAATTTTTATTTATTTTTGGCTGTGCTGGATCTTCGTTGCTGGGCACAGGCTTTCTCTCCTACTCTCTAGTTGGAGTGCATGGGCTTCTCACTGCGATGGTTTCTCTTGTGATGCACGGGCTCTAGAGTGCAGGCTCAGTAGTTTTGTGATACATGACTTAGTTGCCCTATGGCATGTGAGACCTTCCTGGACCAGGGATCGAATCCTTGTCCCCTGCATTGACAGGTGGATTCTTAACCACTGGATAGGGAAGTCGAGGTATGTATCTTTTTAATCCTGATGCTCTGACATGGTGCTTGGGTTTCCAAAATCACTGGCTCAGACAGGCAGCCGTGTTATCTTTCCTGCTTAAGCACTTTCCTTAATAGATGCAGTCTGGGGTGCTTAAATGCAAATGTGCTCCCCTATAGGTGAGGGGTAGTATTTCAGCTGCCATGATGGAGTGGGCAGTGCTCTGTCAGATGAGTTATGTACAACTCTTCAGGGTTCCCTTGATTTTTTTCTCCTGACAGTTCACCCTGTGCCCAACATTCCGTTTCCTGGAGTCAGACCTGCAGACACTTATATGTCACTGACTGTCTCCCCTCCTGAGAACATGACATAGGGATGCTGCCTGTCACATTCCTCATTATCCTTCAGATGAATTTCCCCTGATTAGTAGAGTGGGAACTTAAACCTGTGGGTGGTACACAGCCCTTCCTCGTGTTTTCACCAATGTGCCGTGAGGAAAATCAGCATTCCCCAGGTGCTTTCAAATGGATGAGGTGGCCCTCAAGGTGACCTCAGGTTTCTTCTAGCTCAGCTTGTTGTCTGTTTCTTCTGAGGTGACTGTCACTTTGACCACAGCAGACAGGACAGACCATCACTGAGGTTTAGAAATGCAGGGTACGCTCCACCAGTGGTTTTCCTCTGTGTCTGGGCCGCTGGGAGCAGCAGTCAGGGGAGCTTTCTGGCTTCCTGGCAGGCATTGTGTTTTGGTGAGACTTCATAAAACCCTCTCCCGGGGTGAGCAGAGGCAGTGATGGCATCCCATTCTGTTCTTTGAGTTTTCATAGTCTCACTTGGCAAAATCCAGTCAAATCAAAATGAGAGCAGTGGGCAGGGGCCACCATCTGGGGTATCAAAAAAATAGCAGCTCTATTCCATGTAGGAAAAAGTGCAAGGTGGCAAGTGAGGCCTGCTCTTCCCTTAAAATGTATTCAAGATGCCTTTCCCCCCCTTTTTAAATTATTTGGCTACACTGTGGGATCTTAGTTCCCTGATCAGGGATCAAACTCATGTCTCCAGCATTGGAAGAACAGAGTCTTGACCAATGGACCACCAGGGAAGTCCCAGAATGTACTCACTTCTTTACTTCTCCTATTTACACCAAACCTGAGCCACATTCCAGCTCCAGTAGGATTCCTGCTATGGCTTCCCACTTGTCCCCCTGAATCCTCTTATGTCTCCATCCAATATCAGCCAAAATTATGTTTTGAAGATGCAAATAATTTTAATTGATTTATTTTAAATAATTTAGCTGCTTTACAATGCTGTGTTAGTTTCTTCTGTAAAGCAAAGGGAATCAGCCATGCGTATACATGTATCCTCTTGTTTTTGTATTTCCTTCCCACTTAGGTCACTAAAGAGCAATGAGTCGAGTTCCCTGTGCTACAGTATTTATTTTAACTGGAGGTTAATTTCTTTACAACTTTGTGATGGTTTTGCCATACATCAACATGAATCAGTCACAGGTATACATATGCCCCCCCCATGCTGAAACCCCTCTCACCTCCCTCCCCACCCCATCCCTCTGGGTTGTCCCAGAGCATCGGCTTTGGGTGCCCTGCCTCATGCATCGAACTTGCACTGGTCATCTATTTTACATATGGTAATGTACATGTTTCAGTGCTATTCTCTCAAATCATCCCACAATCGCCTTTCCCCACTGAGTCCAAAAGTCTGGTCTTTATGTCTATGTCTCCTTTGCTGCCTTTCATGTCATTACTGCCTTCCTAAATTCCATATATATGCATTAATATACAATATTTGTCTTTCTCTTTCTGACTTACTTCACTTTGTACAATAGGCTCCAGTTTCATCCACCTCATTAGAACTGACTCAAATGCATTTCTTTTTATAGCTGAGTAATATTCCATTGTGTACATGTCTTATAACTTCCTTATCCATTCATCTGCTGATGGACAGCTAGGTTGCTTCTAGCTATTGTAAATAGTGCTGCAATGAACACTGGGGTATGTGTCTCTTAATTCTGGTTTCTTTGGGGTGTATGCCCAGCAGTGGGATTACTGGGCTATATGGAAGTTCTGTTCCCAGTTTTTAAAGGAATCTCCACACTGTTCTCCATAGAGGTTGTACCAGTTTGGTTTCCCACCAACAGTGTAAGAGGGTTCCCTTTTCTCCATACCCTCTCCAGCATTTATTGGTTGTAGACTTTTTAATGATGGCCATCCTGACTGGCATTAGATGATACCTCATTGTGGTTTTGATTTGCATTTCTCTAATAATGAGTGATGTTGAGCATCTTTTTCCCTGATGGCTCAGATGGTAAGGAATCTGCATGCAATGCAGGAGACCTGGGTTCAATCCCTGGGTCAGGAAGATTCCCCTGGAGGAGGGCATGGCTACGCTTCTGCTCTTATTTAGAATAAAAGCCAGTTCCTGTGACAGCCTGGCGGCTCCGAGGAGACCCAACTGCTCCTGCTGCAGGGACCTGACCCTGTTTCATTGCCTCCCTGTACATTCTGATCTGCGGTGGCCTCCTTCTCTTCTGTGGTTGCACCAAGTTTCTGGGGTCTGAACTCACTGTTTTACCTCCTAGAATCATTTTCAATTAGACGTTTACATGGTTAGAGCCTTCTTTGTATGGAAACTTCAACTTACCACTTTTTTGATCACCCAATAAAGACTTTAAACATGGTCCACATCAACACATGGGGGGAAAGGGGAGGGTGGGACAAATTGAGAGAGTAACATCGACACATGTAGACAACCATGTGTAAAATAGATCGCTATTGGGAAGCTGCACTATAGCATAGGCAGCTAAGCTTGGTGTTCTGTGATGACCTAGAGGGCTGGGGTGGGGGTAAGGGGTGGGAAGGAGGCCTGAGAGGGAGCAGATATAGCTGATTCTTGCTGTTGTACAGCAGAAACACAATTATACTCCAGTAAAACAATTATACTCCAATTAAAAAAAATGGTCCACATAAAAAATACTTTAAAAAAAAGGTCTTACTTTGCCATGTACTGAGAACTCCCCCAGCCTCAGTCAACTCATCTCTATAGTGGAGATAATAAAATAGAGTGACTCCCTAGGCTGGTTGTGAAGGCTAAAGGTCATAATATTTTATTGGTGTCTGACATACAGTAACTGGGCAATAAAAATTAAAATTTGGTCAGTTTCTCTGGGGTTGCCTGGTGGCTCAGATGGTAAAGAATCAGCTTGCAATGCAGGAGACCTGGGTTTGGGAAGATCCCCTGGAGAAGGAAATAGCAACCCACTCTAGTATTCTTGCCTGGAGAATCCCCTGGACAGAGGCGCCTGGTGGGCTGCAGTTCATGAAGTCACAAAGGGTTGGACATGACTGAACCACTAACACTTCACTTCTGTGGGGTAGAGTGGATTTAACTCAAAGCCTTGAGAGGAAAAATGGATGTTTGCCAAGTCCTATTTTCAAGAGAAAATTTTCAAGTGCAGGCCGTGGTGACAGAGAGACCTGGCTTCTAATCCTAGCCCCACCATTTAGGAGTCACTTCATTTGTTTTAGTCTCCTCCCTTCTAATGTGGAGAAAGTGATACATCTCTCAGGGTTGACGTGAGGACTATGGATAATGCTTAAAAAAATGCCAAGTCAGTGCCTGGTTTTGGACTCAGTAAGTGGCAGCCACTTTGCCTTGTCCCAGCTTCCTGGGTGGCGGGCTTTGCAGTGTGGAGCGGAAGAGAAGAGGGGAAGCAGGCAATCTGGCAATCTATGGAACTTCTTTTCTAATCCTTCTGATAAGCATGGGCCCAGGGGCTGTCTCATTTGACTTCCTCTTCTTTACTTTCCCGTCTGGTGGACAGTCATCAGGTTGGGAGCCACACCGTGGCCCCTAACTGATGGGTCAGCATCTTTGATTTCCCCTCTGTCTTCTCTAATGAAAAGCACTCATATCCAGTAAATCTGTCCTTTACTCTTATTAAAGCAATTGATGTTGGTTATTGAGGTCTGTTCCAGGCTAGGTGAGAATCAATAAGGTGATCCACTTAATCACTTCAGCAATCAAGGAGCTCTTTTCTTAGTTTGCACTCCAGCCAGTGCCTGCAGAACTCCAAAGGCTTATCAGGCCCTTATTGTCCACACAGCGGCTCAGAGATGTCACCCTTCATTTTCTTTCCCCAGTGATCTCAGGGAGTCCCGAGTCCTCTGAGCCAGGCTTGCTCTCTGCTTACTCTCTGCTTGCCTATATTTGGCAGAATAATGACCAACCCTGTGCTTCTGGGAAGCACTCCTTGACATTAAGGGCTGTGGACACTCAATTCCTGATCACAGATGCTCTCATTTGGGCCCCTGTGTCTTTGTCTGTGTCTTTGTCCATGCTGAGCAAGGACCTGGAATGAAAGTTACCTTGTTTCAACAGGGCAAAACCTCTCTTCTACCTGAAGATTCATATTCCATCTTTGCTCAAGTCCCTGAGGAAGACTCAGTCATTCGCTCCTTGTAATGTTTTGAACACAGGTCTATGCTGAGGCATGTTTCATGATATTGGTTCTTCCCTGTATTCTGGCCTGTCCGTGGTCTTCTTAAGAGAGAGCTAGTGCCTTACTCGTCTCCGAGCCATCAGGACCCACCCTATTGCCTGGCACACAGTAAGAGCTCAGTTGTATTTGTCGGAGAGAAGGCAGGCAGGCAGGAAGGAAGAGAGGAAGGCAAAGAGGAAAGAATTAGTTCCTTTCTAGAGTCCTGGATTTTAGCATAGGTTCAAGGCCTGGCATTGCCAATAATTGCTGGGTAACCTTGGGTCGGATATATAATTTATTTCAGCCTAAATTTCCTTATCTGCCAATGAAGTAGATAATCCCCTAGATGCCTTCCAACTGAAACATTTTGTAATCTTATGCCTCTAAACCTGTGGTTCTCAACTCTTTCATAACCAAAGTCACTTTTTGGAACAAATATTTTGAAACCACTTCTTACCAACATAAAATGAAATGCTCCCATAGCATAACCTACCTCCAAATAATTAGGAAAAAGTAATGTTCTAACTGTAGTATGAAAGGAAAACCATATATGATAAAATAACATGTTCCTTTAGGTGAAAGTTCCTAATGGTTTTGTGGTTGTTTAGTTACTTAGTTGTGTCTGACTCTTTGTGACCCTATGGACTGTAGCTTTCCAGGCTCCTCTGTCCATGGGATTTCCCAGACAAGAATAATGTAGTGCATTGAGTGGGTTGCCATTTTCTTTTCCAGGAGGTCTTTCCGACTCAGGGATTGAACCTGGGTCTCCTGCATTGTCAGGTGGGTTCTATACCATTGAATCACCAGGGGAGCCTGAAAGCATGGCTAGGCCTCAACTAGAAGGCACAGTTGGAGGAGTCAGGTGCTCGTATTTCCTCAAGAATCACCTTGAATGACTCTTGTCATCACGAATTTGACTGTTTTTAATGATAAAGTTCTAAACGAACAGCTTGCATTCTTTCCAGAATTGACAGAGTAGTCATATCATGGAAAACTCAGGATATGTAAAACAAAGGTGTTTTTTAAGCTCAGATACTTACAAACAGAATTTGTACCTATGGGACTAGTTGCTGGGGCATTCAAAGGCTCTCTGGGGAGTGGGAATGTTCTTGATAGTGCTGGGCTGTCTCTGACATTGAAGAACTCTAGGACCTTTGTCCCATGCGCACTACCCACCAGCAGGGCCTCCAAACATTGCACCATCCAAGAACTTCCCCACCTACCAACATCCAAAGTGCCTTTTACAGGATATTATCATTCCCCACAAGGAGCAGCACTCCAGGCTTTCAAATGTCATGTGAAGGGCTGGCTTCACGGCATGTGGTTTGCGTAATAGCGCTGGACCCTTGTTCTTAGAAGGGCCCTATGCTTGGGTTTCCCAGGTGGCTCAGTGGCAAAGAATCTGACCCAGTGCAGGAGACATGGGTTTGATTCCTGGGTCAGGAAGATCTCCTGAAATAGGAAATAGCAACCCACTCCAGTATTTTTGCTTGGAAAATTCCATGGACTGAGGAGCCTGGCAGGCTACTGTCCATAAGGTCACAAAGAGTCGGACATGACTGAGCAAGCAAGCACACATGTGCTTGATTTAATGCTTTGTTATTATTGTCTTACAATCCTTAATGGTTTTTGAACAAGGGTCTCTGAGTTTTCATTTTGCATCTGGCCCTGCCAATGATGGGGCCAGCCCTGGCTACGTGTATTGATGGGGTCCTGTAGATTTTCCAAAATATATGAAGGATGTTTAGTCTTTGAATGATTGTCTTAGTTTGCCTACCAATGCCTTCTTTTAATTAGAAAAATTATCCCTAATTATTTGTATGGTTGATTGATGAGCAATTTGTTCATTCATTAAACTGATGCATGCGTCCTCAGTTGCTTCTGTAGTGTCTGACTCTTTTCGACCCTGTGGACTATAGGATAGATAGGAGCCACCAGGCTCCTCTATCCATGGGATTCTCCAGGTGAGAACAACTGGAGTGGGTTGCCATGCACTCCTCCAAGGGATCTTCCCAACCCAGGGATCAAACCTGCATCTCTGGCATCTCTTGCATTACAGGCCGATTTTTTACAGCTGCGCTACGGAGGAAGTCCAAACTTATGCATATGGAGCTTCTATTACATACCAAGTAGACTCTGGACTCAGAAAACCGTAATTCTAACCCTGTAAGAACTCACAGACCCTTGGTGTTATTAATAACAGAGCTTCCCTCACAGCTCCCTCATAGCTCAGTCGGCAAAGAATCTGCCTGCAGTGCAGGAGACCCAGGTTCAATCCCTGGGTGGGGAAGATCCCCTGGAGAAGGAAATGGCAACCCACTCCAGTATCCTTACTGGAAAATCCCAAGAACAGAGGAGCTTGGTGGGCTGCAGTCCATGGGGTCAGAAAGAGTCGGGCATGACTGAGTGACTAATACTTTCTAATAACTCTCCTAACCTCTTGCCCAGAATAACTATGAAAGCAAAAAAATACAGCATATTTGGAAGTAGATAGTACATTATGCCAATTGCTAATTTTAAAACTGTGTTCTCCATCTCTGGAGTGCAGCTTTCTCCTATTTTTTCCCCTGTTAGATGTCATGGGACATGATGCTTTTTAAAAAATTTTAATTTTATACTTTTATTTAATTAATTTCTTTAAAAAAAATTGATGTATAGTTGACTTAGTTTCAGGTGTACAACATAGTGATTCAATATTTTTATACATTGAATATATAATATTTGTATACATTTTATATAATATTTTATACATTACAAAATGATCACAAGTCTAGTTACCATCAGTCACCATACAAATTTATTACAGTATTATTGATTACATTCTTTATGCTGTACAGTGCACCCCATGACTTTTATTTTATAACTGAAAGTGTGGACCTTTCAATCTCCTTCACCTATTTCACTCACTCTTCTCCTCAACCCCTCCCCTCTGGCAACTACTAGATGGTTCTCTGTGTCTAGGAGTGTGTTCCTATTTTGTTATGTTTGTTCATCTGTTTTGCTTCTTAGATTCCACCTATAAGTGAAATTATACAGTATTTATCTTTCTCTGTCTGACGTTTCATATAGCATAATGTCCTCTAGTATTATGTTGTTGTGAATGGCAAGATTTCATTCTTTTTTTTTTATGGCTGAGTGATATTCCATGTTATGTATATGCCACATCTTTATCTATTTATCTATTGATAGGCACTTAGGTTGCTTCCGTATCTTGGCTATTGTAAATAATGCTGCAGGAAAATGACACTCGACACTAAATAGTAACTTTTCTGTGAAAATCAGGAAGTGAATAGAGTGATTGGATTCAGCAAAATTTATCAATTTGGGTTTCACTAGTTTGGAACTTATGATAATTCATAAAAGAATTTTACCAAATTAAAAAAAGATGTTAAGTTTGGTTGATCACAGAATTATGGAAGTTTTGAAAAGGACTTCAAAAAATTATCCAGTGCTTGAATCTGTTATAACACCCTACAGAGTATTCATAGAGCCAGCTTTGGCTAATTCTTGTGATGTGTGCTGTGGAAGCATGTGCTTCCTATGCTAAGAATGTTTAAAAAAGCAATTTAGCAGACTTCGTATGCTAATTACAAATTATTCTTATCTACTCATTAAAGTGGGGCAGGGCAGCATGCCTTTTACTTGGCAACACTTATTTAATCTAGCTGTATTTTATAGTAACAAAACTGCTCTGAAAAGACAATTTATAATTCACACTTCTCACTAATTCAGCTCAGCCCTAAGCAATTAATTTTTTATTAGTTCAGTATTACCATATTAAGAAGAAATAAAGAAAATATAAGGACTAACTCTAGGAAGTATTATGCTAAGAATCCACTGGGATATAGTTAATTGATTCAGAGATTATTGTACAGCAACAACTTGTGCTTTGGAGGAAGTCTTGCTTTAATTTTTGAAGTTATGGGCAAAGTCCCAATATGGTCCAGGCATGGTGTCATATCAAGGATGATCCTAAGACTCATTTCTGGGAAGAGAAAGGGCCAAGGTATATGGAGATTGAAGTTCTTCACTTTGTGGTGCCTTTATGAAAATAGAATTGAAAGGGGTTAAATTCTTGTATGGATTACTAGCTGTGTTAAATTTCTAGCTTAGAATTTGCAAATTAATGCTCTTTGATGATATTAAGGAACTGGCAGATTTTATTTAGATAGATTGTATATGCAAACCTATTTACATGCACATGGACATCCATATGCATGTGTGCATTTGTGCTACGAAGCCTGAGGAAGTCAAATAGTCCTGTTCTCTGATAATGCCAGGTGGAGTGGGCTATTTAATAGTATTGGAAGGACTCAAGTGCCTTGCAATCAGAATTTAAGTCTTCCTGCCCAGAGGGGCATGAAACCGTCCTCTTGCTAATAAAGCCCACAGAAAGCAGAAACTGTGCAGCTGCCTAAAAATGGAGGGGCAGATGATTCAGTTCAGAGAGACAGGGAGCTACAGTAAAACACTGCGTGTGTTGAAGGGAATCAGAGTTTTCCCCAGAAATAAATTATTTAACACTTTAGTGCCTAGTATTTACAAAGGCTGAGTTCTAAGATAGTGTGTGGAAGAAGCCCAAGGTTTTTTATTAATAAGGGCTCTGAAATAAGACATGGGCATTCCTGTGTGAAGAATGTAGGATGAGAGAGTGGTGGTCAGGAAAGACAGCCTGTTCTACCGTTTATTTGCAGCATTCTTCAAAGCTTGGTCCATCAACCACCTGCATGAGACTCAACTGCAGAGCTCATTAAAAATGTGAATTCCTCAGCCCCACTGCAGGTTTGTAGAATTAGTAATATGGACTTTTAAACAAACTTCCTGGGTGATATTTTTTAAAAAAAGTTTTTTATTGAGGTATAGTTGATTTACAATGTTGTGTTAATTTTCATAGAGCAAAGTGATTCATTTGTACATATATAAATATATATGTGTATATATTTATATTTTTCATATTCTTTTCCAGTATGGTTTATCACAAGATATTGAATATAGTTCCCTGTGCCATATGGTTGCAGCTTGTTGTTTGTCCATCTTATATATAATAGTTTACATCTGCTAATCTGGGTAATCTTTAGTCATGCTGAAGACTGAGAATCAATTCTTTTGGCAAGAACTGAATAAGTAATGATTTGATGTCTGTCTCCCTTCTAGAATATATGTTTCATGTGAACAAAGGATCATGTCTTGTTCCCCAGTGTATTTCTGGAACCTAGTTCAGTCCGTCAACCATAAAAGTCACTCAAGAAGTAGTTTTGGAACAAAGATATGAATGAATGAATAAAAGAAACTATAAACTGATATCATAGCCTACTACATATCTTTTACAGTTCTTTGCATTTTGGTAAATGGAGCCAAAAGATTCTATTATTTCAGAATGGGCTTAGATATTTTCAGTAGAATCCATTTAATGCTTTTTTAAAAATCCTGCTTTAAAAACCTTAAAGCATTATCGTATATGGGGTCTTGTGTAGGTGGAATCTTCCTGACTATTACAGTGAAGATTTTGGCGCTCTGAGTGGGGGACACCAGGTGTGTGTATCATTCCTCACAGAATTCTGTCTTAATTAAGTTTGCTTCTGTTTCTGTTTTATATCACACACCTAGCGATAGAGGTATTTCAAGGAGGCATGTATGACTTTACAGTTAAAACCGGAGGAAAGAGTTCAAAGACAGAGCACATCATATTGTGGTGGTCTGACCATCTTTCAACTCCCTCCGCGTTACGTAAGGTAAGGATACACTGGAGTTGCAACCTTACCCTGAGCCCTTCTTCCTCACACAGAGGTTGTTTCATAAAATCCACTCAGGCCATTCTTCTCAAGTTCTTCATACACTTTTCACCAGAAAAAAGAAATCATTCATATCTAACAAAGGGTCTTGGATTCTTTAGATAGTTTCCATTATAAGTTTTTGGCACTGCTATTACCCTCAGCTCAAGTTACCTTTCTGATCCCCCTTCTTTCATCTGCTGAAAATGGATTATTTCCTTATTAGCTCGAAACCGTTACTGTTCACTGAGAGCAGCCTGTGTATGAACAATGCTAGCTCTGGAATATTCCTGAAGATCCATTGTTGCACAGAAACTTTCCCTGAAAACCAGGGAGTTTTCTGAGAGCGGGATGGCAGTTTGTTTTCTGGAAAGGGCTATTATCACAGGAAAACCTTCCAGATCTCTGTCTTGAGACAGCTGAGCACAGCTGACAGGCTGGGAAACCCCAGCAAAGCATTTTCTGGGGAGCCCTGAGTTCTGAGGCGATACCTCATGGGTCAGCTCCATAGTAGGTGCTTAAGGGAGGGTACAAGAAGACCCAGGAGTCTCCAAATCCTCCATACTCCTTCCACTTATATGCTGTGAACTATTTCATCATTGAAATTCTCCTTATTTTTTTAAATTTAATTTCTATTTTATATCGGGATGTAGTTGATTTACCATGCTGTGTTAGTTTCAGGTGTACAGCAAAGTGGTTCAGTTATACATACATGTATATGATTTGGGATTGACATATACATACTGTGAGTGAGTGAGTTAAAGTTACATATATGTATATCTATTTGGGATTGACATATACATACTGTGAGTGAGTGAGTTAAAGTTACATATATGTATATCTATTTGGGATTGACATATACATACTGTGAGTGAGTGAGTGAAAGTCGCTCAGTCATGTCCGACTCTTTGTGACCCCATGGACTATACGGTCCATGGAATTCTCCAGGCCAGAATACTGGAGTGGGTAGCCTTTCCCTTCTCCAGGGGATCTTCCCAACCCAGGGATTGAACCCAGGTCTCCCACATTGCAGGCAGATTCTTTACCCGCTGAGCCACAGGGAAAGCCCAAGAATACTGGAGTGGGTAGTCTTTCTCTTCTCCAGGGGATCTTCCCAACCCAGGAATTAAACTGGGGTCTTCTGCATTGAAGGCAGATTCTTTACCAACTGAGCTATGAGGAGAACCCTACTATATATAAAACTGATAACAAGGGCCTATTATACAGCACAGAGAACTCTACTTAATATTCTATAATAACCTACATGGAAAAGGAATCTGAAAAAGAAATTCTTTTTCTTAGTTCAATTGGAAAAAAGGTCCCCATCTCTTAAATATTTTAGAAATCACCCTTATAGGTTATCTCAAATTTGAAACATTTCTTGAGAATCATACCATGGTCCATGGATGGATACTATTCAGGAATCTGTAAATTTGGGTGGGGAAAATTACACCTTTATATTCACTAATCTGTAACTAAAATTTCTCAGTTTTATTATGATTAGAATCAAGTCACAGTCATGTCCACAAATCCTATGAGTATGTCACCAATAGGAATTATAGATATTTTCATATTGCATAACAGTTCTTTAAGAGATCTTGAAACATGATTTACATTTACCACTATATCTGGCAATTATTAGTCCCTCCAATAGAGTTGACTTATTGATGCCTTAATAAAGAAGCAATTATTTTACCATGGCATTTAAAATATTTTGATAACTATATTTCATTATTATTAATATCTTTGGTGGTTTGATGCACTTTCTATGCACTAAAAATAATTCTAACAAGAGTTTTATAGGCTTAACTAGACTGTTAAATGGATCAACGGCACACAGCTAAAAAAAAAAAAGATTTCAAATGGCTGAGAATCACTCTGTCTGCATTTTGTAGTTGTGATTGTTAATGAATTATGATGAGAAATTAAGAAAATCAAAGACTAGAAATTAGAAGGCCAGGGTTTGAGACCCAGATCCTGCTAATTTTCAGCAAAAGAGTAGTCATGAACTCCTGCTTGTTGTAGAGAAATAACCTCTTCCTGGGGTTATTGGGAGGATTAAATAATCCTAGCATGGGATCTTCCTAACTGTCACATCCCAGCTCATTTCTTTGATTACAAACATGCATGTATTTTTCTTCTAAAATAAAATGCTGATGAAGCTACCTGACCCTTGCCTGTAAGATTTCATCCACGAATTTAGCACGGCACAAGGGGCCCTAACCCACTTTGCCCTGCTCCCTGCTAAACCACTCCAGCCACAAAGAACTCTGACATTTCCTGCCACACCATCCATTTCCTACCTTTAGGCCTCAGCTCACATAGTTACCTGGGCTTGTAATGCCTATTATGTTTTTCCCACCCAGCAAATGCCTACTCCATCTCTAAAGCTTTCCTAGGTTCTCCCAGCCAGCAGAATCCCTCCTCCTTCTCTGTGCTCCTAAGTACTTGCTCTCATCTTCCTTTATTGTTATATTAATTTATTTTATATTAATTTTATATTATATATATTATATATAATATATTTTATATAAAATCATATAATTTTATATTATATATTTATTTTATATTAATTTATTTTTTCCATGTTTGGTTCTCTCATTCTCTGTTATATTGGGTTGGCCAAAAATTTCCATAACAGCTTACAGAATAACCTGAACAAACTTTTTGGCCAACTCAATATTACAGCCTTTTTCAAGCATGGGATAGGAACGTATGTTATGGAGGAAGCTTGCAAAAATATGTTGATATTATAATTGCATTGATTTGATTTGAATCATATTTCTTTTATGTTGAATTCCAGAGACCATTAAAGGAGGACTTGAGGTTTGTATGTGACTCCAAAGATGTCTTCACAGAAAACTGAGAAACACTCATCTACTGGGGAAAAGGGATTGAAAAAAAATCAAGGATCAAAATACATGTGGTAAATTCTTGGAAAGCACAGAAGAGGGCACTTGGCTAAGGATGATTGCCTTCCTTGAGAAGTTTTAGGTTATTTTCTCCTCCTGGAATAAACTCCAATAAAGCCTTCAACTCTCCCCTTCTTTTCCAGCTCAGAGTTCCCAAGGAAAGAATGAGCCTGCCAGGCCAATGAAAAAATAAGGACAGGATAGATTCTTCTCTCCCATCCTGCTCCTGGTTTCTGATTCTTGGCTGATAGAAGTGGAATTCTGATTAGAGCAGTTCATTGGTTGGAGGCAGGGCTATTCCATCCATTCATCCAGATCCCAGATACAAAAACCCCACAGCTAAAGGGAGATTGGCAGAGGGCCGACCTGCTGGGGGTGCAAGCAAGCTAAGCTCCAGGGGCAGAAGGTGAGATGGACCTGCGTCTGGAGAGAGCCGTGGCAGGCACTGTGCTGTGCATCACGGCACTTCAAACCTTGGGACAGAAGTGTAAGTTAGAGATTCTTAACATTTTACAGGTAAAGGAGCTGAGACCCAGGAAAGTGAAGAGATTTGCTCCAATTTCAGCAACAGTGCTGAGATATGAATCCTGGTCAGTGTGACTTATGCCTCTACATGTTCTTCCTACTCCAGCAAACAGCCCCAGTGCTTGCTCACCCTAGAGTCCTCACTGGTTAAGGTGATCTCCAAAAAAGGTTAGAAAATATGCTTATTCAATAATTCATATTTAAGCATATTAGTTTTATGCTTTTAGACTAGTCCTTAAAAATCTTCTTGGGATGTGCTAAGGACCATAGGAATGTGTTTTCAATATGTTAATATCTATTCGTTATAAAATGCTGTTATATAATCATCTTTGACACAACATTCTCCACCTCCCCACAAATTTACAAGAGAAGTTGAGGCACAATGTATTTAAGGGATTTGCCCAGAGGGGAGATTTGCTCAGTCATAAAGATGAGCCTGAACTTTTTCCACATCGCATTCTGTTTTGAAAGGCTCAAAACATATGCTCAAGGGGGGTATCTCACTAGATTTCATGTCAGATCGTCCTCTTGGTAATTTAATCCTGTCATTCCTAGTTATATCCCTTTGGAAAACCACCATCAATCCTTTCTCTTCTGATATTTTTATGCAAAAAAAAAAAAATTCCCTGTGCAAACCACCTCACTCAGAGACAACCAACTCAGCGATACTCCCCAAAGTGTGTACAGCCTGTATTACTGGCACCTCCATCCTCCAGGCAGCTCTAGCTTCACTCCCAGTCGAAATTTATTCAGAACCTCCCAGGATAGGAGGGGGCATGGAAGGATCTGGTTATCTCATGGACACAGGCTCTTCTGCACCCTTTGTCTGAGTGGTCATGTCCTAGTTAGAGTGCAGGGTTCCCCAAAGTGGGAGGACCATTTAAGTTTTGTACATGTCGCCCTCCAAAAACCACTTGACATAAATGTTTCATGGCTAGCCTCTGTGAGGCCAGGGCTGGAACACTCAGCTGTGAGGGTGTTTGTATTTGTGGAACTCTCTTGAACATTTGCTGCGGGTTTCAAACAGCTGCTCCGCGGAAGCTCTGGGGAGAAGGAAGATCATGAATATTCAGGTGAAGCCACCAGAATGAACAGCCGTTAATAGAATAAATGCCTAAACAGTTGTGTAAGGCTTATTAAGACCTATTGGGGCTGAGATAATAAATTCCCACTCTGACATGTTGCAACTACTGTCGCTTAAACACTCTGGACCACCTCTTCCCAAATGAAGGAAAAAAATGATGTTAGTTCTCCATGCAAACACAAAGAAACACCTGGAAGCCTTGGCAAGGGCATGTGGTTTGGTAGAGATCTTTCTGTGGATCGCTGCATCCCCAGGAAGATGATGCACTGTTCATTGTTTGTGCTGTCAAGGTTATCTTACAGGCTGGAGTGGGCACTGCTCTGGCACCCGAGACATTCTGTCCCGACTCCATCAGACCCTGTGGGCATCAGCTGAGAGTTCATACAAAACCCTGGGGCACTGAGCCTGGACCTTGGCCCTCTTACCCCAGGTCTATGGCCTGGGACCCCCTCCCTCAGCCCCTTCCAGTATGGTATTGGGTGGAACAAATATATACTAACATTGGGCTCTTTTGTTTTCTGCTCCATCAATCCATAATGGGGAACAGGGTGCAAAGATTGCAAATGCAAAAGTGACCTTTCCATGAGGCAGCACCTGGTGCATTAAGAAGTCCCTTGCACACTGGGTTTGAGACGTGCGTGCTGTAAAACTGGGGAATGTGGGAGGCAGTCAAGAGGCGCTGAATTCTCCTTTGGAGGTTACCTGTCACATTGTGTTAGGCCAAGTCAGACTGCGTGGTTCTGGCACCTAGAGTCACAAGGCATCCACCACAGGGAAACAGAGGAACTCGTCCATGTTTGCACCTAGAGGCAGACTCAGTAATATTTGATCAGAAACCTGCTGTCAATTCAGATAAAGGGCATTTGAGTTCAAATGAAGGCGACTAACTTAATGAAGTGAGCTTGTACATGTAAGGCCACATTTGCTTCTCCAAAGCTGTCAGAGAGAGTTCACCCAGACTAGTCATGTACGCTCATTTTCCCCACCCCTGAAGACTCTATGGGGTCCTGCTAGACTCAGAGTCATCAGAATTGTGGAAAATACACTCACAACAAAGAAATGCCTGTTTCCCAGGTTCCCAGTGCATCAAAATGGAAGTAGACTTGAGGATGTAGCAAATCTGAGGCTGAATCAAGGCCTGAGGGACCCACGGTGAGTCATTTTGCTTCTCTGAGGTGTAGTTGTCTCATCTGTGACACAGGCATTATTCTGCCTACTCACAAGCTTATTTTGAGGATTAAAAACACGTAAGCCACCTGCTTCTCAGGTGACTCAGTGGTAAAGAATCTGCCCGCCAATGCAGGAGACGTGGGTTCAATCCTTGGGTCAGGAAGATCCTCTGGAGGAGGAAATGGCAACCCCCTCCAGTAATCTTGCCTGGAGAATTCCATGGACAGAGGAGCCTGGTGGGCTACAGTCCATGGGGTCACAAAGAGTCAGACACGACTGAGTGAGCACATATGCAAGCCACCTGCTGAAGGTGTTGGCTCATGGTAGTTGCTCAGTTAGTACTGTTTATTCATTCCTTGGACAATTATTCACGAGTTTGTTTATTTCTCTTTATCACCATTCTTTTCACCAATGACTTGAACAGGGTTAGGTTAAAAAATTTCCTTGCAAAGCAGAGATTAGCTTCTTTCTTATACAGTTTCAGATATCTTCATGCATTTAACCTACTGGGTAAATCAGCAATTTGCATAAAAGCCAGGCAAATGAAAGGGGAAACAAATCTTAGTTGCCCTTTTCCTTCAGCCCTCCATACTCTACTCTGCTTCAATTATGGGTGACCTGGTTATCAATATAAGAACCAAATCTGTTTCAGAACCTTTTGTGTCATGGTCAGAGTTCCTGAGGAAGAACAGATGGAATAAATTAATTAGTCAAAGCATGCTTAACTGGAAGGACATTTCTTTCCAAGAGTGGCCAAAGGGTAGAGGGGACACGCAAGGGACAAGGTAGCAGAAGTGCCTCAGAGAGCCAGAGGGCTAGGACTGGGCATCCGTCTGTATTTTGAATAAAGATGTATATTTTTTTGTTCCCATTAACAAGTAAGTCAGGAGGGGTCTGATAGCTGTTATTCTTCCAGGGATGGGTCGGAAAGTGACCCTGAAAATCTGTCCAAACGGCAAAACTCTTTCAGAAGAGTGGGTAGGAAGTCTTTCCTTTTCTGTGTTCTCAATACAGTTGAGGCAGACGTTTGTCTATAATGATGCCTTCTGGCAGAAGTTTGGATGGGTTTGGTGGATGCGTTTAGGAAGCTGCTGGCAAAGCCTCCTTGCTTGGCCAAAAGCAGGGGCCTGGCTGTTTTGAGACCAGATTATCATACTGTTTCTCTCTTTTTTTCTCCCCTCTATTTCTGGCTAACAGTCAGTTCTTCACCTCCCTGCTTGCTTCGCTTGGCACCTCTCAATATCAACCATCGCTCCCTGGTCCTGATCATTCCACTCCAGGATGGAGATCTCTGGGAATACCATTTTGTTATTTTTATCACACAACAGGTGTGCACTCTGGGCAAGCCCACAGAGTGGACCTTCCAGGGCCCTGGACTGTGGATGTGACATGTTCACCACTGTAGACCCGCCCTCCTGCCCGAGATCACTTTGTCACGCGAAGCTACTCTACTATTTCTGTTTCTCTCTTGAACCAGAACAAACAGTAAACAACACATGCTTTTTATTCCAACCCTGGAAAAGAAGAGCTGTTTCCTATGAAAGCCCATGCCAGGCAGATTTCTTTTTCCAAGAGGTTTTAGGAATGAGTGATTTTTTTTTGGTCCAATAAGCAGGGAAAAAGAAGCAAAATGGAGGTTGCTTCATAGAAAATCAATGTACAAAAGGACCTGAGAGATGATCGAAACTAATCTGTCAATGCAGTTTAGAAGACTTGGGGTCCAAGGTCAGGAAGGTCAGGAGACAGCTGAGGCTGCCATTGGAAATCATAATATGGATAAATGACACTTACTTAGGACTTTGAGGTGTAGGTGTTATCTTTTTACTGCTAAGGGTCCTGTCTTCCTCAGCCGAGGAAACGGAGGCTCAGGGCTCTTAGGTGACTCACCAAACTTACCAGATAGTAAATGGCAGATGGAGGACTCACTCTTGGGGGCAGTTTGGTTCCAAAACTGAGTGCTCTGACGCTTACTTGTCCTAGACCGCTTTCCATTGCTCCTCACTTGCAAGCAGAGTCCATGCTTCCAGAGGTGAACTCAGGGTTCCATGCTCACAAGTGACAACAATCAGACCACACTTCCCATGTTAAGTTGCCCCAACAGGGTCAGTGGGAGCAGGGGGAAGCAGGGATACGGATCTCCTGGGGTGAACCTAGGCAAGTGAGCCTAAGCCACCGGCTTAATCTTTTGCAATCTTTGACTCAAAAAAACTTATTTTGCAGTTGTGGTTAGAGGTAATTTCAAATACATTCCAGATGT